AGGGATAAAAGTGTCTCCATGTGTCTTGGAAAATTACTGTCGCCACATATCAGAAGAGAATACCACATCCATCACTGCCTAGGTCGAGCTGGCACTACGTATATTCGTTCCTGCTAGGGCGAACCTTCGCAGAGGGGTTCACTGCTCGTTCCCGTCGCCAGAGTGAATTATGGCAAGGTGTAGCCCAGCCACGTAAGACCCTAGGTAACGGCCGAAAACCACCGCCGCCACCCTGCCACCGCTCCTCCCTTCGGCAGAGCAGGAAAACTGAAACTCTCGGGAGAGGTTTCATCGCTTTGAATTTCGTCGGCCTACGCTTTTTCTCCGCGCGGCGCGTCTAGTTACGCCTTCAGATGCCTAAATATATGCAGAGTGTGTGCTGGCACGACACGTGTAGTTAATTAGAAAGTTTTTGCGCATCTGCAAGAGGTAAATAACGATGATAATGGATAAAAACTGTTCGGGCGCCGCGATTCCAATATGCGAAGGACGCCACGGGATGAAAAGGGCGTGATTTGTGTGTAACATCTGCGCCACATTTTTCCATCCGCGCACAAAATAAAACGTAATACTAATATAGTACCTATATAGATATACAGATTTCTAGAAATCTTTAATTTCATTGATTTGTTTGATTAAATTAAATTAAATTCGAACGGAAATATAGAATCAGTTCTGCTTTCGGTGTAGAACAATAAGCGTTGTAGAAACATGTCTATAAGTGGAGTTATCCTAGGTGTAGTAGCGAAATGATGCTGGTAAATTTATCGACCATCGATATTCGATTGGTTTCCGTCCGGAGGCCCACGCCCTACATTCGAAGTTTGCGTGCGCGCTCGCGTTCGGCATGCTTTAGTAGCGCGGCGTAGATTTGGCGAATAAATCATCCTGGCACCGATTGCGAATTTCGTCGGGGTCGTAACCAGCTCACACCGCCGCCGAATCGAATTCGGGCGGCGCGATAATAACGAGCAAGGTGCACCAACGGCACGCAAAAAGTAATTAAGCAAAACAAAACGCGCCTGCAAATTGCATCCAGCACCGCGCTCGATTTAGGTCTTTCGTGCTTAATTATCATGATGTTCCATCAAACATAAACACCTTTTCAAATGTGAGCGAATAACGAGCGCACGGCGTCGCCGAGGAGGCATAAAAACAAAAGCGTGAAAATAAAAGCTAGGCTTTTAAGTTATCCGCAGAAATTGAGTGAACTTGTGCACAGGTTCGCCTGTATTTTTTACGTTTCTTTTTACGTCTCCCAAACCACCAATTGCGCAACTTTTTTGTTTCATTCGTTCGAGGGTTGCCGTGTAGCTGCAGAAGGAAAACATTGGAGGGACTTTGCTTCCAATTAAAAATAAGACATAAATATATTGCTCCCTCAAATGGTAGGGGAGGTAGTATTAAAAATTACTTCTGCTTTGAGGGTATGATGAATGCTGAGCCCACTCATTACCAAGTGCAAAAACAAAGCGAAAAACACCAACGTTAAGGAATTACGCTTCTGAAAGCAAAGGGGTGGCGTTAGTTTAGGATTAAATCAAGGGGCACTTAGTCTCATCGTTGATCGATCTGCCAAGCCACCGAGCTTGCCCTACTTGCAAGGGGTTTTTGGTATTTATATTGCTGCTGCGCAGGATAATAGGGTTTCCTGCGGAAAAAGGCCAACCCTACGACGAGAGTGTGAAGAAAACGCGAGGGTTAATAAAACAGTCTTAGCATGGCGGAAGGATAATTAGTTCCGCGACACAAGTTGACACCCTTTCTGAAATTTAATGGGAAGGTGACTTGGAACCAATATTTTTAACTTATAGAACCCAACCTAACCTCCTGAGGATTTAATTTCTCTCTGTGGTAACATTTCAGTCAACATAAATCGCAAATTGACAGCCATCGGTTCCAATCAGGATGAGTTGTATGGATTTGGGGGCGCGTGTCATTCTGTTAGCTTTATTCCTGTATTGGTAGCTTTCGGTGACCCTCAGCGAAGCGTTCGCATGGTGTTTTTTCGTCTTATTGCTTTTATATTGTTTGCCAACCGCAAATCGCAAGTTGGTGTTTGCGATGTGCGAGGGAATCAATTCGGTGGGATTGGAATACGACACGTACGACGCTCGTAAAGATAATTATCCGGACTACCCATTGCTGCATCATGGGTATCGTGGAGGTGCGGTCGGCTTTCAATTGGATTATGCTGTGATTCGATAACTCAATCAACTTCAATCAGTCTTATTGCACATCAAGAAGTACCTATATACGCTGAATGGAAATATGTTAATGAAAATTTTAGTATTTTGCAAAAGGAAAATTTTATTGTGCGAAAACAATCTTCTCATCTTTGCTTCCCTTCGTGCCTGTCCCACCGGAAAGGCCGAATAAGTAGAATGAAGTAAATATTCACCCTCGATTTAGTTATGCGCGTAAATAACTCAGGACATCTTGTGAAAGTAATATTACTTTTCTTATTCGCGCTCGACTTCGTTTTGTGTGCACCTAGTTGATATCGTATGTATGCCCAAGGGTTGAGAATAAAGCATACCACCCTCTTTGGTATCGTGCTGCAGCGCGGCGGAAAAACGGGCGTCTTTTTCTATGTTCGCGAAAACGAGGCAGCGCGCACCTCAGATGGCGGGTCGGGGTGGTGCAGCGTGTGGGGGTTGAGCGACGCCCACCTCGAATGATTTGTCACCCTATTTTTGCCTACCTACGTTCAACGACTGCAACGCCTCAAGGCTGCAAAAAGACTGCAGAAGAAAGCAAAAATGATCAAAATGAGCTAACTAAGAACTGTGGGGACCAATTAAACTCGAACCGCCGCGATAAATCCACCCGGACGACCATGAAATTATCAAATTTATCTGTATCTCCCAGAAAGACGCCGAAAAGAAGCCGGCGAGTGCGTGAAGTGCCTGCGTAATGAAGACCGAAGAACAATGGAAAGGGGGTGTGTGTAGTTGTGCGTTAAATCTAATACCTAATTCAATGGGGAGGCGGCTTAATCAGCAAAATGCATTATGTTTGCCCGGCCCATTCTAATAATTTTTTCCGATGTCTACTACTTCGGGGTTGACTTAAAACTTTCTTTGCGAACGAAAAAAAATATTGTGGCACATGTCTCTAGCCTTGGGGACGATGACGACGCGCAGAGAGAGCTATGAGATAGTAACGTATGTAGATTGAAAGTGGGCCTCCCCAAATTTGATCAAATTGTCCAACCGCCATGAAATTCCATGAGTTATTTTTATTTGGTAATTTTCTTTATTGCATTGTGCGTTGTGTTTGTATGCACGGGGAAGGAACTATTGGCTGTGTAGGAAAACGGGAGGCGGTTTGGGACAATCTTCGTCTTCGAATGTTTACTCTGGCGCGCGCGCGAACTCCCGAGGTCCGTGCGCTTGATTTCACTCGAGGGAATTTTCATCTCCTTGGGAAGAAGGAGTTCCATCGCTCGCAGCTACTTCCAACCCACAACAGGGCTAACTAATGCCATCAATTGGAAAACGTACGTGTGTGAGAGCAGATAAACAGCGCCATACAACTTCAGAAACTTTTGATGAAGCAATAAAGCAGTAAACAACAAATTCACTCTTCAATCATTTTGCGCTGGTTTACGATCCGAAACATTCAGTTTCATAATTTAAATTTTGACGGGTTTTTAGTCCTCTGATGGCCGGGCAATTGACCAGCCACACGAAATGGTAATTGCTTGATTTATATGTAAATAACTTAATTACAGCCTGCTACCTCTGGTATCATCTCATGTTTTTTTTCTTCGCGTCTCTCTTGCATTGAGCGCTCAGCCATGATGGATGGGCACGGCTTGCATTGCAGTCCAGCGCACTTATAGGTGGTATGAATATCATCATCATGTGCCGCGATAAAAAAAGAGCTGCATGGAAGTGCGTTGCGCGAACCACTGTCGGCGAATATTCGATATTTACGATCGCACAGATAGGATCGTCCTCCGAACACGAGAGCCTTCTCGCATGTGCATGCACGGAAAGAAGGAAAGCAGCGGCTGATAGATATTGAACCCGATCGCGATATCGCGTCTTCATTAACGATTTCGTTCGGTGGTTCGGGTGCGCGGCGTGTTCTCGTTTTACATATCGCGATCCACGAACGATTACAAACGACGTTACATACAACCAACCCAAGAAGTAAAAAATAAATAAATTAACCACAACAAAATGTTTAGAGTAAAAATTTTGATAAAAAATATTGAAATTTTATTTTTTCTATTTTAAATCTCTTTGGTTTACCACCAAATATTTTTGTCACATTCTTGTTGCATTTCTTCATGATTTAAGTAGTGTCCAATGATGGTATCGCCGCTAGGTTCCATCATCTCGAGATCGAAACCATCTTTGAGGCTCCCGCTGAGCGATCTTGCGCACACCCATTTCTTTTGCCTGTCGTGTTAGTTACCTGCGCGCGGATGAGGCATACCTGCGGTTGGAAAATCATCTGAGATGCAAGCGGGGCGTGTACTCGCCGCTGGCCTCGAGGTGCGCATGAATTCACGAATCCAACTCGCCGCGCTGCTTACTCTATACCTGTATATTGGAGTAATACATGTTGTTTTGCTCTCTTGGCGCGTAGTCGTGGTGTCGTTCTTGTGTTGGTCGGTGTTCGTGCATAATACTATTACAGGTATCAATAATATTCGAATTCTCTAAGTCTGAATGCGTTGTTTGCTTACTTAAACATTCAAACATTGAAAAACACCTGTATACCACCGTGTTTATTGACTATAATTATAAGCGCACAATAAATAGACAGTTATATGCGTGCTGGTAGGAAGGCACGGCCAGGCAATAGAGCGCGCTTATTTATTGGACTTTTATTGTCGCTACCGAATCAATTTTACACCATCGTAATAATAATTGCTGTTGATATTAGTGAGTTATTGTATCTATTCGTTCATATTAGTTATTTGGATGATGCTAGTTTGATTGATAAATTAATTTTGTGTGTGTTTTTTCTTCCTGCTGGTATAGGAGCGAACGGATTACGCCGTCGGGGTAGGCAGACCTACACACGATACCAGACGCTGGAGCTCGAGAAGGAATTCCACACGAACCACTACCTGACGCGGCGGAGACGCATCGAAATGGCGCACGCGTTGTGCCTCACCGAACGACAGATCAAGATCTGGTTTCAAAATCGCCGCATGAAGCTGAAGAAGGAGATCCAGGCGATCAAGGAGCTCAACGAGCAGGAGAAGCAGGCGCAAGCACAGAAGGCGGCGGCGTCGATAGTGGACCAGAACTAGTGCTGGTCGTAGATGTGCACCTTGGGCGATGCGAAGCGGCGACGGTTTTCGGACTCCTAGGAGACAAGGTAAGCCTCTCCGAAAAGAGAGTACCTGCTTATTATATCCGCCCAGACCACAAACCTAGATTCTAGTTAGACTATTGAAATGTTTTTATTTTTAGACCACTAGCATAGACAAATAGCCTTTAGGATTCTTTTTGTTAGCTCTTTTTTGAAGAATATAATTATCAAAAATTGTTTCGTCTATTGTTATTTTGTTGCGACTAGGAGCTAGACCATAATTGAGGAAATCAAAAAATGATTAGACCACAAATGGCGGTAGTTATCTATAAACGAATGGAATAGATAATTTTCTCCTTGGTTTTTCTTCAATTTTTCTTTCTCGTTGAGCATTAGAGGGTTCTTAATTCGTTTATTCCCCCCTTTTGGTATTTATTGAGGGAGTCGAACCGCGTGCATATAAATTTGTATAAATTACAGATAAGAAAGTCGAAACCTATAAAGTATATATTCCAATTTAAATTATCAGTTTTTAAGTATCTTTCGGCGGGACGGGCGTGAGAGGCTCTTGGCTTCTTGGTTGCGCGATTCGACAATATATTATTCGCTAACTACTAAGCGCACAAATCACGTCCTTAAATTTAACTTGGTCCTTTATAAGGCACAAAACGAAACAAAAGTAATCTGCATTAAATTGCGCGCTGCGTACTTTTTGCATACCTACTATTCGTATGCATTTGTTTATTTTATACGCGACGAAGAAATAAATCACAAATTTACTGATTCGCTAAATTTCGAAGCATTTAAGCATTTCATTGCAACATTTCCACATTGGGGCCGAGTCATGCGCGTTCTTTATGTATCCCCTTGCAAGTCGCGTTCGTTGTTTTCTCCGAGTTCGTGAACGCCGTAATACGAATATCGCATGCACGCTCGAAGCCACACCGTGGCTCGATTCTTCATTCTTCATTCCCTGATTCCTGTGTGTTGCTGTTCCACTCGGCGACACGCTTGAGGTATATACGAACGTCGCTGGTTCGCGTAAATATCTCAAGTGCTCCGACGACAAACGTTCACGTTATGCCCGGCCGGGATATATTTATTACCAAAGATATATCGAGTTGCATTAAATGATTAATGTTTTAATTAGTAATTCCGAGCGTGGAGCGCTTTCATTCCTGCCGCACGGCTGGCCGCGCACGTTTGTCTATCCTTCCTTTTTCGCTGGATAATCGAGACACCAACACGCACGCGTCACCTGTGCATGTGTGTTTAATTTATTTTCTACGATTTGCATCGGAACGTTTATTTAAATTTCAATTTAAATAACAATCATAATAGCACGCCCACATGCGCGCACCATTCAATGCGACACCTCACCAACTTGAATACAATAGAAGTAATGTTATTTAAAATAATGCGCCAGGTGCGGGGAACTAAAAACAAATCCTTATAATATTTGTTTAGGATTTGCAACTTATAAAATGCCACTTGAATTTTAATTTTACACAAATAGTACAAATCTTGTAGTTCATCCTTCGCAAGTTCAACTTTATGGCCCTCTATTAATCGCGGTCGTAAACATAAACTTCCCATATTTGTCGGGTAGGTGTTGGGGCGCCCTATTCGCTTCTTCTTCACTTCAGAATGCCTCAATTATTACTATATATTTACCTTTTTAATGCAGTTCGACCGGTTTTTATACAGTTTTATAAAGATAAGATAAAGTCAAAATAATGGTCCACAAAAAAAATTTACATTGTCATCGAAGTCGTTTGTGGTGCCGGTTTTGCTACTTACTACAACCACTACCAGATCGTAAGCACAGTAGTAATAATTTGTTTACGACGCCATAAAATCTTTCAACGCTGCGACTTTTATGCGCCGCGGTCGATGTTCACGGCTGCATGTACCAAGTGGTTTTATTCGTCGATTCGACGCGAGGTGGAAGGCAGCGCGCCGTGCGAGTTCAATTGGGGATTTTATTCTCGCACGACCCGCCAAAGTCGTAAACTGTAACGCCGGCTCGTAACTTTGCCGCTCGCCGCACTCGCTCTCGCGGTGCTTTTGTGTAATCGATGCTTTATGCAGTTGCTCCCGAGACTGCTAGGTGGCGGGCTCGTGTTATGACTCGAATAACTCGCGTAGTCATCGCGACCGCTTACGCAATCGATGGCATGCTAGGAGCTCCCCACCAGTGGCGTGCATACAATGGTGTAGCCATAGAATATACCCCACTCTTGATGTAGCAGTGTGGCCATTCCGTTTCTGTCTCCCACTTGAGGTCTGGTCCTCCACACTACTCTAATGACTCTTCGGCTACTCACTTTTGCTAAAAAAGGAGAGTACCATCCTCAGCTTGCTAAGTTAGAGTGAGTTTGGTGTTATCCGATTCGAATGGGACCTGCTCAGATCGTCGTTTTATGTATTTTATGGTTTGTTTTGATGGTTTTAAAAGTGCCTACCCGACCCCGACACGCTCGGACACTAGGTCATGGGGACATGGGGTCTTTACACTTTAAATTTCCTTTTATCAATCAAAATTGCATTTGTGTCACCACATAATATGAATGGGGCGATTTATTGATACACCATCTTGTGTGATCAACCATTATTCGCGTGGGAGGTGTTTAAATATTAGTGATTTATTAGGTTCACCAATAAACGTGTCTTATCTCATTGCGATGGACAGTGTTTGCCCGACATGCAAGTCCACATACCGTACACCTAGCTGCCAACGCGCAATTTACATAATTAAACAATGTTCTGGTTGCCTTGTCTCTTCGACTTTGTTGATGCCCAACACCCGCGTAACAATGTTTTATTTAATTAATTTATATCTGTTTATCTACTCATGAAGGCGTAAATTCTCGACTCGGAATTTTTGCCCGGGACGGGGAAAGTTATTTAGTCATTCTTTACTCCTTGCATGGGCAATGGACTGACTTCAGGTTCAGGTTGCGTTCAAATTTATGCATCATGCAATTAAATGCATGTATTTATACAGTAGCACTGTATGCGAAGGCAGTAAAGTGTGAAAAAGATTGATTAGATATGAGGATTGCAATGAATTACGTCTTCATTTGTGTATTTAACTTCACTTTTTGAGAAAATCCGCAATATATTTGATTGAATTGAGTTTGAGATCAGTGCAAACAGCTTGTTGATATTTATTTAGCTGAGATACGAACCGCAACACTTAAGGGCGACCCCTGAGCGGTCGTTGCTACCATTTGGGCGCTACTTTTATTGGCGTTTTAGTGCGTTAGAAGAGAGCGACTTGGTAAATCTCTTCAGCCCCTTCGAGTGCCACTTTGCCCTGCACGCTCTGGCGGCGTTTCGGCCGAATTCTACCAGAGGGGATTGCCTACCATTCGAACCAATTCTCTTCTACTTTGCCACGTCTCCACTTTCTACATATTGTATCCCACAGTGTTCCGGTCGAAATTTGATCAATTTTTATATGCCCCAAATGAAATAAAAGCCGAAAGTTGAACGGGATTCAAACATTTACTGTTTGCTAAATTTCGCTAACCGTCGGATCGGGTTATGTGAAGGTGGCCGGTACTGCGCGACTTGGGTCCGGGTTATAAACCATGTAAACATGCAACAGTGTAATAGGAGGGACATTACGACTTTACGACCGCGTTTACAGGTCATAAAAATCACTTTAACTACCTCCAAGTGCGTTTAGGCTTTATTACTACTCACGCTCGGCGTGGTCGTGTGCAAACGTGGTGTTGGACTTCATTCAACTTTTCCGTCGCGCCATGCACACACCCAAACAAATCCGATTCACCGGCAAATAAAAAAACACTCACAACCGTGGTTTGATGGAGTTTTAAATGCCCATCATATATTTTTTTGCTTCTAGATTTTTATGAGCGTCATTAGTGACCTCGACTTCATTCATAAACTTCCAATTCATTCCTAATTTTAATAAAGTAAGAAATAATTTATTGTATTGTTTTTGTTTACTACACTTGCATTTGTCATATGATGGGGGTGTTGTAGGTTAGAATTGGAGGGTTTAGTTGTAGTGGCGGCTTCCATGGCCATAGCTCGTCTGTCTCTCTCCGGGGTGAGTTATACCCTCTCGCGCGTCACGTGACCATAAGGAGGGGGCTTGATCAATAAAACATCTCCCTCCGAACAGCACCAACCCCACACCCCTCTTCACCCCGGCGGCCAGCCCCACGCGGCGCGTTGCCATCCCACACACAACGGACGAACGAGTAGAAAGAAAATCGTTACTCGTAAAGAATATAGCCAGGAACCAATACCTTAGCGTTACCCTCTCTAGAATGCAGATTTGCCCTTTAAATTGAACGATTACCACCCACTTGTATACCTGACATTAGATACAGCAAATTATCTAGTTGACTTGAAGAATAGCTTCAATATGTTTGAAATGACCATGAAACGTCGTCATGTAAAGGTTGTAAATCATAATATTTCGTTTTGAGAAGAAAAAATTGTTCACAGTAGGGAGCAGAAATTTTTGAAGCTTTTTAAAAGTTTTAAAATTTTGTCAGTTCGTTTTTTAGTCCCGTCTTAGACAGCACGTCGGGCCTCCTGCAGTGACATTATCGGCGATTATCTGTGACCATGTTGGATGTTCTCGTCTTCGTGCCCAGTGCTGAGTATGTTGTGTGCAGATGTTTGTCGGGAGTCATGCGGATGATGGATATTTTTTACAATTTCGAATTTGTGCACGCCTGGCTTTTTTTTGTCAAGTTTGCATTTTTTTTTGTTGCCAGTGACGTAAAATTGAAAAACGTTATTATAAGATGCGCCTGGGCGGCGCAATAAAAATGTAAAACAATGGCCATAATTCAAAATAACGCGCACCCCATTTGCGAGGGATTAGCATTTTAAAAGCGCGCGGACACCTTTACACCGCTCCCCACGCCTGAAGCCAAAGTGGATCCCGACCGCGGTGTTCGAAATGAGGTAATGTCTTTCAGACGCGCGTAGAAATAGAAAACTGCAGCACCAGAACGTATGTGCAACGTGTATATCTCAAGGAAACAGCGAGGAATTAAAGAAAGTTGTCCAAGTTGTTG